CAATTTTGTAGTTAAAAATCTTTTAATTTATTTATACATATATTTATATATGTACACACTTATTCTTGTAAAAACAAGAAGCACAATTATCAAATTCATCGTTAGTCATAGGTGGCACAACAAAGACAAGTTCTCCAGAGTTGTGAATGACCGTTAGTAATCCCTGAAATCACGGTTTTGTACTTTGTCTTTTTTTAATAGATCCCCATTGCTCTTCTTCTCTAACATTTTCAATAACAAGGCAAAGAAGAGAAAAGCTGTTGCGAGGACACGAACTACACGATGGACTGCTCTCATATTTGGATTTGAAATCTTTTGTTAAAAAAAAAAGAAAAAGAAGCCCCCTCCGCCCCCAATCTCCTCACCAAGTGGATCGCAGCTTCTTATGAGGTAGCCCGAAGTGGACCTCAAGTCTGAAGCTTTCAATAACGGTCTACCCATTTATTTTTTAATTCATAAGAGTATAGTGAATATCTAAAATATTTTTCTGACAACTAGCAGAACTGAGCTTCCTACAGTATACTAAACTTTACCAAAGACTTGTGAATTTGGATACAAAAGCACTTTGAACACCCCCCTCTTTTTGTCTTTTCCCTGTTTGTACTCAGAGACCAGCTGGTCCCATCACCTGAACAGGTTCTGCTCATCTCATTCGTCAGCTCATTGTTATAGTGTACACTATTTTATTATTGTTTTTTTATTATTACACTAACAGTAATCAAAATGTTTTCTAGTAGTCCAATATTATTTCCACATCCTAGTAACTTGCTTTGAAAAGTTACTTTTGAGATGTGGATTTGGTAGCTTTGTGTTGAATTTCATCTTTAGAAACTGTTTAAGATAAGTGCTTTGATGTAGGATTTTTTTTGTGTGCTGATATTAGCAATAGGCCCTTAAAATAATTAAAAATCCCTTTATGAAAATGGAAAACTTTCCTAAACATTACTGCTTTAATTCATTGTAATTTTCATAGAACCCTGTTATTAGTATTTTGTCTCTAGTTTCTTTTTTTTCTTTTTAGATTTTTTTTTAAATACAAGGTTTGAAAATAAGCATCCTTGCTAAATTCAGTCCTCGATATACATTACATGTACTTATTTGTGATTACAAATGGTGATATGCACCAAGCTTAGAGTTATAACAAAAAATAAAACGCATATAGTAGTATATGGTCCAAATAGTACAGGTCCCACACAAATGTCCCTTAGTGTTTAATATATTTCTTTGTACTCCTTCATAGTGTTGTAAACCTTTATATAAAAAAATTATAGAAGTCTCTAAGAAATGTACTGCCACTAACAGCGTGACGGAACAAGTGCGTTGAGTATGTGCTGCATGCTGCCCTCTGGGGGCAAAAACCAGGAGCCGTGCTACAGGAAAGGGTTGGTGGATGAACTTCCTGCAGGGAACGAGCCAGCTGGTGCTCCTGCCTGAAGAAGAAGAAAAAAAACACATCAGTGTTCAGGGTGAGATTTTTCACACTGAAAGATGCACAACACTGGTGTTAAACTTTTTTTTAACAAAAGGGGCAAACGAAAACACCCATTTTCAGTTCTAGGGTTTTATGTATCGGGACATGATAAAGACGTCTTAACCTGGTTCTAAACTTATTCAGATCTAACCGCAAGTGAACAGAGTCTACAGAAGGCGTGCCCAATACGTCGAGCATGATCTACAGGTCGATCTCAAAGATATTATGGGTAATCACATGGCATTAAAAAACAGACAGCCTATCATCCTCACTATGAAATTTGTCACTTGATTGACATACAGGGCAGCCAGTCTGAGGCCCCGTTCATACGATGTGAAACTGTAGCCTTTCTGCTGCACTTTGAACATTCATTTACAGACAACAGCTCTCATTCGCTTTGAAACCCAGTTTATGAATCCAGGTTTCAGAGTTGAGATTTTTGGGGGGCCTCTCTTGTAAATGAGTCCTCGAGGCTCACTGAGACTAACCTGTATAAATAAAGGATGAATGAATGTAGGTGCAAAACTAATAAAATTCAGGGTCCAAAGAGACGTTGGTGTATTCATCAGTTTAGACGAAACTGTGATCATGCAGACGCTGCATGCACAATTAATGCAGCTGAACCCGGCATTAGGCTTGCCAGATAAATTTAAAATGTCTTAATTACCCTCTCCTTTTCTGTGCACATGTTCAACACAACATACACCTCATTAGGGCTGGGCCACATCATATCGTTCACGATAATACAGGTAAAAAAGCTTGCCCGTGAAAATAAATGATATCATGATGATATGCTAATTTCATGACATAATACGTCAGGGCGCCCCGCCCCGTTAACAGAACGAGCACGCCGAACAACTGAACCGAAATGCGCACCCCCACCTCCACATTCAAATTCAAATTCAAAAATACTTTATTAATCCCAAAGGGAAATTATTTGTTGTTTTAACTATGAACCATCTAAAACATGTCGGTACTGGCGTAGCGCTAATTAGTTGTGCACAATTCTAGCTAGCTAAAAAGCTAAAAACTAACAACACGTGGCTCAGCTGTCTCTCCCTCCCGACCACCCTGCTCTAAGCTGCCTATACAAACGCAGCTCGACTTTTTTTCTCTCTCCCCACCCCGCTCTGGGCTGCTGGTGTGGGCGCAGATCGGCTGCGTCTCCCCTGCTAAAATGCCGGTACAAACACACGCAGCTCAACAGTGTCCTTGAGTTCCACAGTCGTTCCATCCATGGACCAAGAACAGCGGTAATCAAAGACAGAGCATCAGAGAAATGAATCACTCCTGCAGGAACAGAGGAAGTTGAAACACCACAAGCTTCAGGGTCAGCTGATCACGTTGTTACAAGTTCTGGAAGTTATAGCTCATTTAAAAGCAACATATATTTTGTTGTATGTTACATTTATGCTCAACAGATCTTAAGCTTCATTTTATTTAGTTATTTTGGGGAACTGCACCTGCACCTTAGTTTTTGTGGTGGATTTATCGATCTATATTTTGTGCAGACTTTTCAATCTAAATAACAGAAGGATCATTTTTATTTTATACTTGGAGACTGAATAATTTACTAAATAAAGTAATTTCAATAAAATTAAACCTCGTGTTTTTTTATTTTTTTTATTTATATAATACTGCAGAGCAACATGTTAAGTTAATTTTGTCAAATGAATAACTAGGATTTCTATTTTTTTTTTGTTATATCACAAAATTTATAGTTATCGTCAGAATGCTCTGAAATATCACTATATATATATATATATATATATATATATATATATATATA